TTAACCTCTGCCACTGTGAGGAAGGTATATCTCCACTGCAGATAGTCCCGTGACCAAACCAGGCCCATGGCCAAACCAGATGCAACGGTGTTCTTAGGTCCAGCCCATGGCCACCACTGCCATTGTAAAGCGGTTTAAAAAATGCAGTGAGGGCCTGATCCTGATTGCGCCCACAGCAATCTCAGGAGTGATTTCCCACTCCTCCACATGTGCCCTTGGGCCAGTCATAAGTTCTTTCAAAGCTGTTCTCTCAAGGGCAGTTCTTGAGAGAGCTCTCGCAGCCCCACCTACCTCACAGGGTGTCTGTTGTGGGGAGGGGAAGGGAAAGGGATTGTAAGCCGCTCTTGAGACTCCTTTGGGTAGTGAAGGGCGGGGTATAAATCCAATCTCCTCCTCCTCTGCTTCCCCCGCACCAGTGTTCCCTCTAAGCTGAGTTAGTGTGAGCTAGCTCACAGTTTTTTAGCCTCCGGCTCACACATTTTTGTCTTAGCTCAGGAAGGATGGCTGCAGAGCAAACTAGTTTATGCAGTAGCCAAATTGCTCACTCACAACTCTAATGCCAGTAGCTCACAAAGTAGAAGTTTTGCTCACAAGACTCCACAGCTTAGAGGGATCATTGCCCCTCACACACAGTTTTTCAAGTGCTAAAACAGGTGTGTATATGGGGGAGAAATGTGTCTCTTTCAGCACTTGAAAAAGCATAGAAGGGTGAACAAGAGCACTTTAACCCACCGCACAAATTGCTTTAAAATGGTGGTGGCCACAGTTTGGATCCATGGATGCTGTCACCTCTATTGGTGATGGTTTGGCTAGCGTAATTCTGGCTTAGGCTAGAGACGCATGCCCACAGTATAAAGTACAAAGTTATTTTGGAGGAATGGATTGTTTCTGGTGGCTGAAGGCTGGAGAGTCAAACCGCTCAGGCCCAAGAACGTTAATCTGGTCACTGCTTTGCAAGGGAAGTGTACGATTTGAAGTGGCTAATGTATCTTAAGGGCTTTTTAATACGGGAAATCTCCAAAGCACTAAACATGATTTTGCCGCCTTGCTGAGTGCTGGATTTCTTATAAAATTGGCTTCACTGCAAATTTCCATCTTTGAAAGTTTCATGGAGTGCCCACGAGTTCTTGTATTGTGAGAAAGGGAGAAAAGTACCTCTTTCTCTACCTGCTCTTTCCCATGCATAATCTTATAAACCTCGATTATGTCACCCCTCAGTTGTCGTTTCTCCAAGCTAAAGAGCCCTAAGCGCTTCAACCTTTCCTCATAGGGAAAGTGTTCCAACCCTTTTATCATTTGAGTTGCCCTTTTCTGCACTTTTTCCAAAGCTATAATATCCTTTTTAAGGTGTGGTGACCAGAACTGCACACAGTACTCCAAATGAGGTCACACCATTGATTTATACAGGGGCATTATGATACTGGCTGATTAGTTTTCAATTCCCTTCCTAATAATCCTGAACATAGCATTGACCTTTTTTATTGCAGTTGCACACTGTATCGACATTTTCAGTGTTATCTACTACAATTCCAAGATCTCTCTCTTGGTCAGTCACTGCCAGTTCAGACCCCATCAAGGTGTATTTATAGTTAGGATTTTTTGGCTCCAATGTGCATCACCTTGCACTTGGCCACATTGAACCCCATTTGCCACATTGACGCCCAGCAAGGCGAATGTTGTCTATCCCAGCAAGGCAAATATTGCATTCTTAGGACAGGGCTTACATAGTGGACATTTCACATTAAAAAAAAGAAATTAAAATGGGAACACATGAAGCTGGCTTATATGGAATCAAACCTCTGGTCTATCAAAGTCAGTACTGTCTACTCAGACTGGTAGTAGCTCTTCAAGGTCTCAGGCAAAGATCTGTCATGTCATCTCCTGTGGGATCCTTTCAGTTGGAGCTGCCAGGGATTGAACCTGGCTGGGACCTTCTGCGTGCAAAGGGTATGCTCCACCACTGAACCACACATAGAGAGAACCACACAGCTATTTGGTGTGCACAGACCCCTCCCTTTCCAGCTAGTCAGGGCTGCAGAAATGTGTTTTAGAAGAGAAGAAGAAGAAGAGATTGGAGTCTCAGAGTCTCACTTGGAGTCTCAGAGCGGCTTACAAACTCCTTTCCTTTCCCCTCCCCACAACAGACACCCTGTGAGGTGGGTGGGGCTGAGAGAACTCTGACACAAACTGCTCTTTTTCAAGGACAGCTGTGCCAGAGCTTGTGACTGACCCAAAGTCATCCAGCCAGGTGCAAGTGGAGGAGTGGGGAATCAAACCCGGTTCTCCCAGATTAGAGTCCGCACTCTTAACCACTAAACCAAACTGGCTTTTAAGTGGTAGCCATCCACTCAAAGCTGATCCTGAACCAGAACTGTTCTGATGTTCTCCCCCATTATTATTATTTTGTTTTGCAAAAGAATGATCAGTTTAATGTACAATAGGACAAAAAGCAGCGTCACATTGGTTGGAGAGAAGGTCAAATAGAGATCTTCAGTGTGGGAACAGGGGTGCACATAGTATGTCAGTATGCCTCTGTTCTCCCATGTGCAAAATATTGGCACTGTCTCTGGAGATCCCTGATGGTTGGGGAAAATCTGAGAGCTGGCAGCTTAAGACAGCTATTCTGTGAATTCCTGGCAGGAGCTATAACTTAAACCAAGGTCAGAGCCTAATGAAATGCCAAACGCCCCCCCCATGATAATTGTTATATAAGGCTCTCCTCGATCTTACCCTAACAACAATCTTGTGAGGTAGGCTAGGCTCAAGTCCTACCCTCTAACCACTACAGCCAGTTTGGTGTAGTGGTTAAGTGCGCGGCCTCTAATCTGGGAGAACCGGGTTTGATTCCCCACTCCTCCCCTTGCACCTGGCTGGATGACCTTGGGCAAGCCATGGCTCTGATAAGAACTGTTCTTGGAAAAGAGCAGTTTCTGTCAAGAGCTCTCTCAGCCATACCTACCTCACAGGGTGTCTGTTGCGGGGAGGGGAAGGGAAAGGAGTTTGTAAACTGCTCTGAGACACCTTTGGGTAGTGAAGGGCAGGGTATAAATCCAATCTCTTCTTCTTCTTCTGCGCCACGCTGTTTCCTGGTTCACAATTCAGTCTTGTCGCCATTACACAACACGACCAGGCCTGTCATTGTTCTCTCTGCTCCAGAGGCCAGGAGGTTGTCTGAGGTAAATAAGGAGAAGTTTCCCAGCGCTGACGCTATGGGTCTTTGCTCCGACTGCTCCACAACCCAAACCTGATGGGGTCATTTCAGCCCTCCTGAAGTTTTGCATTTAAAAAAACAGTTCTGGGACAATTTTAAGCACAATGACTTTGTCTCCCAGGAATTCAGCCTTGAGTTTGGCTTGCAACAAGCTGGCAGATTCTGGGTGGCGGCAGAGAGGGAAGCGAGACGGAGAAATCGCCTGGGTAATTTTGAGCTGGACAGTAGCAGCGTTGTGCCAAATTAGAAGAACAAATAACAAGACGTGGGTTGTGGGGAGGGAAAGAGCAAATCCCTTCCACACTTTGATCCAGCGCCAGGGTTTTGTTCTTGGCCTCCCCTCCAAGTTCACAGGCGGGGTTTTCTCCAAATCTGTTTATCCCAGTTGGTTACCCGAACTGATAGAAAGTAATGAATCTTTTATGGCCGCCCTGCCTTCACTTTCGCCTTGACCCGTCGTCCGTACTCTGCCGCGTGAGCGCCAGGGCCAGTGGGCCGTCAATGCTGGCCTTGTGTGGAGGAAACAAAAGAGAACTTGATTTCTAGTAAAAGGAACAAGGAGGGGGAGAGGCAGCTCTCTCTCTTTCTGACGCGGTCCATTTTGTGTTGCACTGTTGGTTGAAGAGGAAGAGATGGAGAAAGTGAAAGGGAACTGAGGAACAGCCTTTGTTATCCATAATCCACAGTTACAATTGCTAATAAATAGCAGATTAATTATTTATAGTATTTTAGATTGTAAGCTCCTCAGGGCAGACACCTGGTGTTTTGCTTTTTGTATTCTGTACAAAGGGATTGGGGTGCATTATTTAGGAGCTAGTGTGGGGCCATCACGTGAGCCTGCTTCTATAAGGCCGTTTTCCCCCCACTTTGGCTTCCGAATTGGAGCACTTTTTATTTTTGAAATATTCACACAACTTTGTGCTGTAATCACACTCCAATCACTTTCTCTGCCCTCAATATGTTGTTGTTGTTCAGTCGCACAGTCGAGTCTGACTCTTCGCGATCCCATGGACCACATCACGCCAGGCCCTCCTGTCCTCTGGAGTTTGCTTAATTTCATGTTCGTTGCATTGATAACACTGTCTAACCATCTCATCCTTTGCTGTCCCCCTCTTCTTTGACCTTCAATCTTTCCCAGCATCATGGTCTTCTCCAGTGAATGCTGCTTTCTCATTCGGTGGTCAAAGTATTTGAGCTTCAGCTTAAGTATCTGTCTTCAATATACTCTTTGCCCATGCCTGCTTTTCTCTGATCTTTGTGAGAAGAGTGCTGTCCAAGCATTTTAAATAGGGTTGCCAGCTCTAAGTTGGGAAATTCCTGGAGACTTGGGGCTAGAACGTGGGCAGGAGTGGGATCTCCATGGGATATAAATGCTACCTCCAAAGCAGCTACCTCCAAGCGGAACTGATCTCTCATCTGGAGACTGATAGTAATTCCAGGAGATCTCCAGGCCCCACTTGGAGGTTGGCAGCCATACAGCAGATACTATCTATGTGGGAAGGAGCATGTTTTAAGGTCCCACCCACATTGGTGCCATTTTTCTTTAATTGGCTCCTAATGGCTGCTATTTTCCCTGCTGAGCAACTTAGGCGCCAGTCCATGTTAGTCCATGTGCTCCTAAGTATGATGGTAGAGATATTATAACTATACCCATATTTCTACTTGTGCAACATTAGAGAGTATGACTTCAAAACAATACTCTCTATTAATTACTTTGAATGAATTAAATTCTAACTATACCTGTTAGAAAAATAGGGGCTGTTTCTGACAGAGGGGCCCACTGAAGAACAACATAGCCCTGCTCTTGAATGTTGGAATAAATCCTGCCAGCCAGTTTGACTGAACATTTCCTTTGTTTGCCTCGCTGAATTTATTTTTATTTTTTGTGTCTGTGTCTCTACCCTGCTCCTACCTGTGTCACATCAGGACACAAATGTTGGACCTTCACAGGGCTACCTGCAGGAAAAGGATCACCGCCAGCCTAAGAACCGTGACGAAATCTTGTCCTCCCACAAGCCAAGCTGCCTTTGACATTAAAAGAAAAAAAGAAGAAAAAATAGTCCCTGTCGTGACCAGAAATGCTTACAATAAAGCTGCCTCAGATCTTCAGGATCCACCAAGTACCTCGTGTGAGTAAATAACTCACCCAGCTCTTACAGCATAAGGCTGTCCCCTTTTTCTCACTCGCAGGGGCTTTGCAGAACAGCATGGCAGGTAGAAATTCAACAGGTAAAGCCCCCCCATCATGAACAAAGTGGTGCAGGAAGCTGTACAGTTGTTAAGGGCTCAGGAGTCTTGCCACAGTGAAAGAATCTAGCTGAGTTCTCCATCTTGAGATGTCTAAAATCTGTGACTTGAGCTGGAAACTGAAGCCTGAAGAGTATCTGCTGGAAAATACTGCTCTGCTGACCAGGCCAAGGCCAGACTCCTCCTACTGAGAGCCAGTTTGGTGTAGTGGTTAAGTGCACAGACTCTAATGTAGGTTGAAGTACTTGGAAGGTAGTTCTTCTTCAGCTCAGAACTGAGATGCAGTCAGAATAAGGAAACAGGAGCTAATCTCCAAACAGAGCTCATCCCCTGGGTTTCTATCTTGCCGCCTTCCCTTGAAGCGAGGGGCTCCAACCTGGGGGAAAGCACTGCCATCAGCAGAATGGTTCCATGGGATCTGGTCCCATATCTCCAGACCACCAGGAGGAGATTGTCTTGTATGCTCTATTGCTAGGGTTGCCAGCGTTGAGTTGGAAAATACCTGGAGGGTGGGTTTTGGGGAGGAGAGGGACTTCAGTATGGTATAATGCCATGGAGCCCACCCTCCAAAGTAGCCATTTTCTCCAGGTGAACTGAACTGAGCTTTGTCACCCGGAGATCAGTTGTAACCCCAGGAGATCTCCAGCCACCACCTGGAGGTTGGCAAATCTATCTACCCCTGTAGTTGGAAGCCCCATTTCTGGTGAGTGGGAGGTGAGATTTCAATAGCTGAGCATCCCAAAATAGCCTCTGAACCATGTATGATTTATACTGCCAGTTAGGTATACCCTACAAAAGTCTAGGAATGGCAGATATGCTCCATGTAGTTTATAACTCTCTTGCTGGCAGCAGTTTCCACCTTCCAAATCTCAGGCAGAATAAAATCTTTCCCAATGGTTGCTGCCGTAACTATCTCATTAACAAGAGAGGCCAGGGATTTAATTTGGGACCTTCTGCATCCAAAAATCATATTCTACCACTGAATCAAACTGTTGTAGTTCCTGTCTTCTTTATGTCATTCCTTATTTATATTTCCTTCATTTATACCTCACCTTTCTCCCCAATGGAGACCCTAGGTGGTTCACATAATTTCCCCCTCCTCCGTTTTATCCTTACAACCCTCTGAGGTAGGCTAAACGTGTCTTCAAGTATGGGCTAATGGGGTCTGAACTTGCTGAGACTGAGAGGGGAAAAGATCTTGAGGTCGTAGTGGATAGCTCAATGAAAGTGTCAACCCAAGGGCAAACTCTGTGAGGGATTACTAGGAAAGGGATTGAGAATACAACGGCTGATATTATAATGCCCCCGTATAGATCGATTGGTGCGGCCTCGTTTGGAATACTGTGTACAGTTCCGGTCACTGTATCTCTAAAAGGACATTGCAGAGCTAGAAAAGGTAGAGGAGGGCAAGCAAGATGATTAGGGGGTTGCTTGCGGGGAGTCCCAATCGAGCCCCTTGCACTGTGCTCCTTTTCGGGGAGCTCGGTGGAGTTTGGGAGCCCCCAAACACCTCTAAAAAACCAGTCGATCCGGCCGGCACACAGGAGAGCTTCCCGGTGTTGACCGTTCTCGCCACGCCGGCCCCTATGACGAAAGGCAAAAACAAAAGGAAAATCCGGGCATTCAAGGATCGCTCTGATGCGGAGCGAATAGGTGTAAACTCCGGGCCAAAAGCCGGCTGCTGATCAAATTGTGTGAAATTGACGCGATGCACTGGAGAAAACAAAGGGTTGACAGTGGACCAAAGTCTAGTGCGAAATCGGCCTCTGGGACTTTTCAGTTCAGAAAAGAGACAACTGGGGGGGGGGGATGATAGAGGTTTATAAAACTATGCATAGGGTGGAGAGAGTTGACAGAGAACCTTTTCTCCCTCTCCCAAAATACTAGAACTTGAGGGCATCCAGTGAAGCTGATGGGCAGTAGTTTCAGGATGGACAAAAGGAAATACTTTACATGGTGAGTTATTCAAATGTGGAATTCACTGCCAGAGGATGTGGTGATGGCCACAGGAATAAACATCTTTAAAGGGGGATTAGAGAGATTCATGGATGAAAAGTCTATCAGTGGCTACTAGCCATGGTGACTGAGGGGAACCTCCACACTGAGTGGCACTAAGCCTCTGAATCCCAGAGCCAGGAGGCTACATCAGGGGAAGGCCTCAGCCTCTGTGCCCTGTTGTTGGCCGTCCAGAGGAAAGGATTGGCCACTCTGTGAGACAGGATACTGGACTAGTTGGACCACTGGTCTGATCCAACAGGGCCCCTCTTCTTATGTTCTTATGACAGTGTGTAACTGGGCCAAGGTCACCCAGCTAGCTGCCGTGGCAGAACAGGGATTTGAACCTGGTTCTCCCAGATCCTAGCCTGACTCTCTAACCACTAGACTACACTGGCTCTCCCTTCCATATGAAGAAACTCATAAGGGAACATCAGTTGCATTCATGATGTGTCTAAACTTAAACTGGCTCACCTGACACAGCTTCTCCATCCAAGGAGCTCTGGGACTTGTACTTCCCAGTGGGTGGGGGGGCGGGTGATAAATCCCAGGGTTCCTTAGCAAGGGTGCATGTGTCCAGACTGGTTCCACTGACATGGTTTCTCTTCCAAGGAACCCTGGGACTTGTGAAAACTACAAGTCTCAGGGCTCCTTGGGAAACTACAAGTCCCAGTGCTCCTTAATGAGAACTCATGTCAGTTGAACTAGCTTGGACGTGATGAGGTTGAGGATCATTTACAGCATCTTTTCATTCAGCTGCAGGCTCTGGATGGCATTTATAGGACCCAAAAACAGTTAAAGCCCGTAGCTTAAAACCACTTTTGTGCCTGGAGTATATATATTTCCACAGAATGGGTGAAATGCTCAGGTCTTACTGTACCAATTCTTCTTCTCCTACAGATCTTCTGGGAAGATGGCATCATCTCCGGCTACCGTCACCCCAAAAGCTCCGCCTTGGACTGCATCCTCAGCTCCTTCCAAATGAACAATGAAACCATCAACATTTGGACACATTTTCTCCCCACCTGGTAAGTCAGTGTGACTTCTTTTGATTACACTTCTGTGAACAGCTGCTGCAGTATTGTATCTTGCCGCATTTCTCAGCAACCTGCTTTACAACATCTTCGCAGCAGTTTTGCAGCACTGGAACTGATAGATCTTCGACGTGGTCTCTGTGCTTCACACCCATGGGATCTAGTGCGCACGCGCTGGATCGATCGGCATTGTAGGAAGCTCTTTTAACGGATTTTCGCGCCCAGACCTCGGGCATGCGCAGGAACCCCACCGCACATGCCCAGAGGGGAGGGCACGGACATCCCGCCAGCAATGTTCCCTCTAAGCTTTAGAGTCCTGTGAGAAAAAATTCTACTTTGTGAGCTACCAGCATTAAAGTGGTGAGCAGGTGATTTGGCTACTGCATAAATTAGTGTGTTCTGGAGCCATCCTTCCTGAGCTGAGACAAAAATGTGTGAGCCGGAGGCTAAAAAACTGTGAGCTAGCTCACACTAACTCAGCTTAGAGGGAACACTGCCCGCCAGTTCCTTACTTACCGCCACGTTGGGAAGACCTTTTTCTTCATCTGTCTGATCGGTTGGCGTGTTT